ATGTGGAGCCCAGCTGAAGCAGTCACGGGCTGGCAGACTGATCCCCAGGCTCCCCTGCCAGCCAGGGCTACTCTGACTGGGCTGTATGTGTTGTGCATGAATAAACGCTGGAGCTAATTGCTTTGGAGTTATTTGCTCTCAGGTACATGCTCAAACAGGTGCCTGGAAACAAAACTCCAGAGTACTAAGCTTTTATTCATGTGTACTTGCACCAATTGAGTAGTACCTTGCTCTACACATAGTTGCATTATCACCTGGGACTACTTACCTGGTAAGGTACATGAGTAAAGGTCAAATTCTGAACTTGTGGACTCCCTATAAACCTTACTCACACTTACTAATACTAACCCACACTCATGCTTCTCATTGCAGTGCCTTTTGCTAGAACCATATCAACAACCAATGAACCATTCCTCCAGCCCTAGGAAAGAATTAAACTGCTTGCTTAATAAATGCTTTTGTATCCTAAGAGAAAATTTTCAGGAGTAACAAGGCTTGTATTACTTTGCTAAATGTTTAACATCCTTATATTGTCTGGGAAATATACATGCATATTAACTAGGAAGAGATGGCCTCCACCTCACTCCGCTGGGGAGGAGGCTCTTCTCAGCCAGACTGGCTGACCTGCTCGACTGGGCTTTAAAGTAAGGCTGCCAGGGGATGGGTGGATAACTGCCAGCGCAAGCCCACTAGGCAACTACTGCATAACCAGCAGGTTAGAGCACCCAAGGGAATCCACATCTACCCCAGCCCCGGAACAGTGTCCGCCTCAGAGTGCAAGGAAGCCTAGGGCTTCCAATGGGACACTTACATGTCTGTACACCAGTGCCAGGAGCTTGGGGAACAAACAGGAGGAACTGGTCCTCCTGCTAAGCAAGAAAGACTATGATCTCATAGGGATAAAGGAGACCTGGTGGGACTCCACCTATGACTGGGCTACAGGTATAGATGGCTATACCCTGTACAGGAGAGATCATGCAGATAAAAGGGGTGGGGGTGTAGCTCTCTATGTCCAGGAAAGCTACACATCCCTCCAAATTGACAGAGGCACCCCAGGGAGGATGACTGGAGTCCCTCTGGGTTAAAATACATAGGGAACGTGGCTCAGGGGACACCATGGTAGGAGTCTACTACAGACCTCCTAACCAGAAACAAGAGCTGGACTAGGAATTCACCAGGGAACTGGCTGAGGCTGCATGCTCTCGGTGCATGGTTGTCATGGGAGACTTTACCTACCTGGACATCTCATGGGAAGAGCACTCAGCCAAATCTGAGAGGTCGCAAATCTTCGTCATGTGCATGGATGAGCTCTACCCAACTCAAGAAGTCTATGGGCTGAGAAGAGGTAAAGCGTTGCTGGACCTAGTACTGGCCAAAGGGGGTGATCTAGTCAGTGACCTAAGAATCGATGGAAGGCTGGGTGATAGTGACCATGAGCTGATCACCTTTACTATCCATCACAAAGCTGGCAAGTCAGTCAGCAATGCAGAAGTCCTTGACTTTAGGAAAGCTGACTTTGATAAACTCAGGAGGCTCATTGTTGAGACCCTAAGGGACCACAGCTGAACAGGAAGAGGAGACCAAGAGCGGTGGTTGCTCCTCAAGGGAGTGATCCTGACAGCACAAAGGATGGCCATCTCATCTAGGCCAATTTTTCCATGGGGAGTTCATGGGACAGAGGATCTAGGCTGCCTCTGGGTTCCTGCATGCTGCACCACCGTCCCATGCTACACCACTGTCTGATGGCTGGGAAATTGTCACTGAGGTCGGACCCAGAGAGTAGTAGTCAATGGAAGCGAATCCTTATGGTGCTTCGTGACCAGTGGTGTCCCCCAAGGCTCTGTCCTTGGACCTGTTCTCTTTAACATCTTTATCAACGATGTGGACATTGGTGTCAGAAACACACTGACCAAGTTCACTGATCACACTAAACTTTGGGGTACAGCGTCCACACCTGAGGATAGGCTAGTGATCCAGGCTGACTTAGATAAGCTTAGTAAGTGGGCGGATATAAACCTGATGAGGTTCAATACTGATAAATGTAAGGTATTCCACCTCAGCAAAATGCCCCGCAGCATGCTTATTGGCTCAGCAGTGCTATGCTCGTTAGCACCACGGCTGAAAGAGACTTGGGGGTCATGATTGACCACAAGATGAACATGAGCCACCAGTGTGATGTTGCAGCTGGTAAAGCAAACAAAACTCTGGCTTGCATCCATAGATGCTTCTCAAGTAAATC